AACAATGGGAGCTGTCTAAAACAGTTCGGCCATGCTCAGCTGTACCTGCTTAGTATGAAATTTCATACCTGGATATTAATTTATTTGGGTCAAGTACAGGGGTGACTCAGCGGTCACTGTTGCTCTACTCCCCTCTATTTTCTTCTATTTTTTTTAATGTGCTTTATATGTACATACATTGTTCCAAAATTAGAGGCTGGCTAACAGTTTACAAAGTTTCGTTTTGTATTCCTTAATAATCCTTGAAAACAATTCTTCTGAGTCCACTGACTTATTTCGTTGTAATCTGGGTACGAGTTTGGTAATTGTCTCTAATGACCGTGACTCTTCTTAATTCCGTCTGATCCTCAGTAATTGTACATTTCTCTGAGTTAGTTTGTATCTTGTGTGAAAACAGCAGAATATAAATTTCACAAAAATAAACATATTTATTTACCATTATCAGTAAGATGTTCCGAGATATATTTAGGCGGACCTACTCTTTCATTTCCCTAATTATATTCTTATTAACCTAAAAGAAATATTTCATAATTCGTCTTAGATTAACTATTAAATTTAATGTAATCTTGTTTGGCCTATAATTCCCTTTGTCATGTCTCTTAATTTAACATGCGGATTTAAGAGATGGCCTTTGTCTCTTTTGATGTTTGGTAGATCTTCAGCGGAATTGCTAGTGACCTTACCATATTCATCACTAGTTATCTTGTCTCAGTCTTTTACATTCTTCTGCTAAGCAAAAATATATAACCTTAAGGGCGTTTTCCAGGAAGTGTTGAAATTAATAGATTTGTGATCAGTTCTTACAGGATTTTAAGATTGCTATCAGGGTTTTGTTACTTGCTAGAACCAGGTCAAGCAGGTTATTTTTTATCTAGTGTATATACTGCTTTGTAAGCTGTCCTGAGATACCACTTGAACACCTTTTGTGAGTGTTTCAGCAGTATTCTGGTGTTGTCAGCTATGTGCCTATTTCACTACGAAAATCGCTGCCACCAGTTCATCAGCAGATATATTGTCGATCTCTCACAGAAGTGGTCATTTTTTAGTTAGAATAACTCATATTGTAATCAACTACAGCTAGCCTTCCAATTCATTAACTACCTTCATCCTTTCATCTCTATTGCTCTTCACCAATTACTTATCCATCTACCTTTCCAACTGTCAAGAAGCTGTCCAGTAACACTACCATTGGCTTAATAAAGCTTAAAAACTCAACATAGCTTAGGTTTAACTCATTGCTTAGTTTAATGTGGTGAAAAAGAGAAAATAATGGGTGGATTTTAAACTTCAAGACAGATGCTTTAATAAGAGCCTTTGATCGTGTTCAACCATTCTAAGGAAAGACCAAAATGTCTTTAACCCAGCTAGGACCCATTTCAACATATCGCAATAATTATATTATTATTTTTTATTATCACACTGGCCGATTCCCACCAAGGCAGGGTGGCCCGAAAAAGAAAAACTTTCACCATCATTCACTCCATCACTGTCTTGCCAGAAGGGTGCTTTACACTACAGTTTTTAAACTGCAACATTTACACCCCTCCTTCAGAGTGCAGGCACTGTACTTCCCATCTCCAGGACTCAAGTCCGGCCTGCCGGTTTCCCTGAACCCCTTCATAAATGTTACTTTGCTCACACTCCAACAGCACGTCAAGTATTAAAAACCATTTGTCTCCATTCACTCCTATCAAACACGCTCACGCATGCCTGCTGGAAGTCCAAGCCCCTCGCACACAAAACCTCCTTTACCCCCTCTCTCCAACCTTTCCTAGGCCGACCCCTACCCCGCCTTCCTTCCACTACAGACTGATACACTCTTGAAGTCATTCTGTTTCGCTCCATTCTCTCTACATGTCCGAACCACCTCAGCAACCCTTCCTCAGCCCTCTGGACAACAGTTTTGGTAATCCCGCACCTCCTCCTAACTTCCAAACTACGAATTCTCTGCATTATATTCACACCACACATTGCCCTCAGACATGACATCTCCACTGCCTCCAGCCTTCTCCTCGCTGCAACATTCATCACCCATGCTTCACACCCATATAAGAGCGTTGGTAAATCTATACTCTCATACATTCCCCTCTTTGCCTCCAAGGACAAAGTTCTTTGTCTCCACAGACTCCTAAGTGCACCACTCACCCTTTTCCCCTCATCAATTCTATGATTCACTTCATCTTTCATAGACCCATCCGCTGACACGTCCACTCCCAAATATCTGAATACATTCACCTCCTCCATACTCTCTCCCTCCAATCTGATATTCAATCTTTCATCACCTAATCTTTTTGTTATCCTCACAACCTTACTCTTTCCTGTATTCGCCTTTAATTTTCTTCTTTTGCACACCCTACCAAATTCATCCACCAATCTCTGCAACTTCTCTTCAGAATCTCCCAAGAGCACAGTGTCATCAGCAATAAATCAACATATCGCAATAAGTCAACATATCGCAATAAATCCAGACTAATTTGCAGAATCCCGTTGTGTCGTGTTAAAGGCTCCATCTCAGTACGTAAGGCAGTAACGAAAGCTCACATTGATTTTTCTCTTAACCCTGTGTCCGTGGTTTCAGAAAATGTTTGAGCGGTTTTGCGTAGTTCTTTGCCCTTTCTTGTGTGCTTCCATGTACCGGTATTTCCTCCCACCTTCGTATTTCTTGGAATCAAATGCTCATAAAATATCTAATACTCAAGAAAATGGAATTTTCAAGAAAATAAATATTTTGTTTAATTCTATATGTTTCTAAATATTGTCACTTTTATAATATAACTTTATTTCTAATATATACACTTTTTGATACACTAGTTTTTCTTTTTTTTTGCAAAAAACAAGGACTGTTATATGCATACATTCCATATTTAGAAGATAGATGAGCATGAAAAGCACGTTGCAAAATAGAAACCGTATCATTCGTAGAACATGAAGTAAAGACTTTCTTCCAGACGTATGTCTTGTTCTTATGACTACTCAACCAGTAATCTAGAAACAGAGGTTTCACACCACTTAATACCATCGTCAAACATCATGCACGGGAAAAAAAACATCTTGGTGCGTTTAGGTGCCTACTGTACTGTATGTGATTCCCTCTGGTTTATTGGAAAATGTTTTCGGAACGCTGAATTTCACATGTGAATAAATAAATCCGAAACTTATTAAATTATATTGGAATGATAATTTAAATTTAATCTAATAACAAATAAACATTCTCACGTATGGTGTTGAAGTCAGCAAAGTGGCTAGTATTTAACTTCCATGTTTATCTTGGTCATCAGGCAAGAGCATCCCCATGTGGCCCCACCCACACCTTATCTTCCTCGCCTCACACCTTGTTGCCAGCAGCATCTCTCTTTCCCGACACTACACCCTCATCCTTATTAGCAAGACAGTTCATTCAGTATTACACAAGCTTAATAGCTCCTTCTTCCACTCTTGTCTTCTGTACGTCCTCTTACCCTCTTACTCCCACCCCAGTCCTCTATAATTTCTCTTACCCTCTTACTCCCACTCCTGTCCTCTATAATTCCTCTTACCCTTTTACTCTCACTCCTGTCCTCTATAATTCCTCTTACCCTTACTTCTACTCCTGTCCTCTATATGTACCTCCTCTTACTCCCACTCCTGTCTTCCATACTTCCTCTTAACCTCTCACTCCCACTCCTGTCCTCTATGCTTCCTCTTACCCTCTTACTCCAACTCGTGTCCTTCATACTTCCTCAGAGTCCTCTTCCGTCTTAATTTTTGTATTTCGTGCATTTTATTTAGTCAGTCATCAATAATATTTCCTGGGTTGTGTGTGTGTCAACTATATATGTTTCTAGCCTTGGTAAATTGAAAATAAACCGAAAATAAATTTATTGAGGTAAAAAGTGTTCTCCATTGTCTGTGTTATCTATCCATAGAGTTTGATTATAATTATTACATTGTATCTTAAGAACATAAGAAAGAAAGAACACTGCAGCAGGCCTACTGGCCCATGCGAAGCGGGTCCAAGTCTCCTACCGCCTTAAGCCAGTGACCCAACCTAGTCAGGTCAGGTCACATTCACTTAATTAAGGAAGGAGCACGGCATCAGACCTAGTAGCACAAGCTATTCAGGTCCAGTTCACACCCACTTGCACCCACTCATGTATTTATATAACCTGTTTTTAAAACTACACAACGTGTTAGCTTCTATGACGGTGCTCAGGAGTTTGTCCCACTCATCCACAACTATATTACCAAACCAGTGCTTTCCTATACAACTTAAAACCATTTCTGCGAGTCCTGTCTTGGCTAGGTATTTTTAGCTCGCAATTTCCATCCCCTTTATTTATTCCTGTTTTCCATTTATACACCTCAGTCATATCATCACCCCCCTCCTCGTAATTCTTCGCCTTTCTAGATAGTGCAGATTCAGGGCTCTCAGTTTATCCTCCTAAGGAAAATTTCTGATATATTGGATCAACTTTGTCATCCTCCGTTGTACGTTCTCCAGTGCATTTATATCCATTCTGTAATACGGTGACCAAAACTGTGCAGCATAATCTAAATGTGGCCTAACCAAGGATATATAGAGTTGAAGAACAACGTGAGGGCTCCTGTTATTTATGTTTCTTGATATGAAGCCAAGGATTCTGTTCGCTTTATTGCGAACACTTATGCACTGTTGTCTTGGTTTTAGATTACTGCTAACCAGAACTTCCAAATCCTTTTCCCAATCAGTAATATTAAGATCTACATTATTTAGTTTATATGTGTCATGGTTATTTTCCTATCCACTGTTTGGAACTTTGCATTTGTCTGTATTAAACTGCATCTGCCACTTCTCCGACCACTGCGTCAGTCTATTCAAATCTTCCTGGAGTGTAATTTAGTTTCCCGTTATTGTAAACTTATATAGTTGTACATCGAACCTTCAGTAAACTCTACAAGCATCCTTCAGCATCTTTCATCTCTCTCATCTGCGAGGCGGGTGGGAGCAGCCTTACCTTGCCTGGCCTCCAGGACTTAGGTTCGTCGCGTCTCCTGTGGTTGGCTCAGTGTGGCCGCCGGCCCCGAACAGGACGGAAGCAAGTGTGTGTGAGCGGTCCCGGTGACTCAGCCCAGGTGTGCGCTAGAAGTCTGACACCTTCATTCACACACGCTTGAGTACTACTTATATTTCGCGACTTAATAATGTTTCAGTGCGGACCGAGATGTCGTCCAGTTTTCGGTTTCATTTTGTGGATTATTTATGATATTTGTCTAGCTACGCTAGTGTAACCTTTATTGTACCTAAATAGACAGTAATGTTCTTTGAGTGTTTGTGTTTATCCTTATAAGTCTTACGCTAATAAGAACATATTTCATGCGAAAGTGAGAGATATTTGAAGGTCATTTTGAATATGTGGATTTCTAAAGGGGAAACAATGCGGCTGTTAGTGGTGTTGATTTGTTTACTAGTGATAGTGTCGGTGGCGGGCTCGAGAGGCAGGAGACCACGCCGTCAAAATCTCAGATGGCAGGCCAGGGCGCAGCGTCGAAGGTCCCAGACCCTCCCTGAACACCCAGAGTTTGGTGCACCAGGGCCTACTAGAATGCCTGAGCATACCTCCGTCTGCCCTGATCGACTCACGCTGGAGGAGCGGGAAGAACTAGCTAATCTCATTTTTACTGGCCGTGTGGAATGGCTTACAGGTGGCAGGACTTTGGCCAGCCGTAGCAATGTGGGCGTTGAGGGCGTGGCTGGGGGCGTACGGGTCAAGAGAGTGTTTAAAGGAGGAGCGAGCCTGGCAGAGCAGGTGGTGCAGGTGGACGGCCTCGGGGGGTGGAAGGTGTGTCAGTCCCGTGCCAGCGTGAGGGACACACATATCTTTCTCACCAACATAGATCACCATGGCAGGGTTACACTCAACTCCTCTCTCGTGAGACTCACACTCAAGAACCTCAGGACCATAGCCAAGGCTGTGACAGGTAAACACAGCAAGTGTTGACGAGTTAGACACATGTACAACACCTGGATAACTTCATTTGAAGACGTTTCGCCAGTCAGTGGCTTTATTAATTCAATGATTGGCAAAACGTCTTCAAAAGATACCCAGGTGTTGCACAGGTGTCTTGATTTCTTCATCTTGTCGGTATTGCATGCCATTATTTTATTGATACCTGAAATTGTCTCTATATTAATAATTTTACCACCTGTTACACAATGGCAGTAGAATTTGTCTTGAATTAGATAACTGCTAATATTTTATTAGGAATCGTTAAACCCGTAGGGGTCGTACATCCCCTGGAGAATGGGAGTTAATAAATTTTGATCCAGGGGAAGGAAAGAGTAACTCCAATAACTTAAATCAAGTGAACTTCACTGGCATCAAGGCGCCTCCTTTAAAAAACCTTGAATTGTATTTGTTTACAGTGGTGCTTACACAGCCGCGCGCACATTCAACAGGCGGAACTCGCATACTAAGAACAAGTTTGTATACAGCAGCCGGTCACTTTAGCAGGCCACAAGAATTTTAAAGCTGCCGAGTTTATTTTAACGTAGACGTTTATTTTGACTGGTAACCATCAAGCTACAATCGAAAGTAAAGCAATCAATGTAAAGAATAAAAAACTGTAGAGTGTTGCCACTGTGTTTCACTTCGCTTGCTGTTTCTCTTGTTATCCACGGAATACCATAGTGAAGACACCTTGAGTTAACACTAAATTCTGAATTGTTCATTTTCACGATGGGCAATTATTTGGTTTTGCTACTTATCCTAAGAATATACTACATAACTTTTACATAGTATGGTAGTGCCATTCATCCTCTGAGTGAACAGAACTCTTATAAAAGGTCGTATTTATCACTACCAGTTATCCTGTGAATGAAAACTTTTATACGGTTCAATAGTGCCAGTCATCGTATAATTAAACATATGAAAACAAAGATAAACGTTGCAGAATAAAAGCTTGTTCTGCAACTTGTGAGTTTTGTCTTCACACTTGTCGGCAATATGCTGTCTCACCCAATACATATCTTATAGAGACAATGTATTGAAGTACCACTTTCCCAGTGAGTGACTAAATCTAATATAACTGCAGTATTGGGCAGTGCCACTCAGAGTAGTTTTAATCACCCTTTTACCTTTAAGCATATGGTCTAGATTACTCCTTCAGTATGTAATGGCAACATTGGGATTAATTTGTGTAAAAAATCACAAAGCTTGATTCGTGTTTCAATTCTCCATTAATTATTTTTTTTGCCCAAGATTGTAATATACCACTGTTTCGATCTTCTCAATGGCTGGCCCCAGTTCTGATCTTTCAGGTTGCAGTAACTACTCGCTCTAGGAACTGTTTTCTTCAGTAAGGTTCCTTCCAACAATAATCACTCTCTTAATTTATCTTTAATAATATTTTATCTTGCGTTACAATACCAAGCATTTTTTTTAAAAGAATGTTTACTTTTTTTTTAGCACGCTTTGTCATGCTTATGACTTGCCTACGGCTGCATTTAACTCCTCCACCACTTGATTAAGGAATTCATGAGGGAAATTCTTTTCATACCAGTCACTAACGTCACTAGTGGCGTTGGTATTTTTCTTTTAGTAGACTAAACGTTCTCTTTTCCCAGGCGAAACTGCACTACATTCACTTTGGTCAAAGATCAGTGATTCAGCATTCTCAGAAGAGGATTTTCACTGAAGGTCTCTAAAGAGAGAGGAATGAACAATCATTTCCCCACGAATATGAGTAGGCTGAGAGCTGCTCAGGATCCTGAGATTCCCGCGAATATATTTGCAGTGAACTGATATATAGTATTGTAGTCTCCCACCTTTAATGTTTTAAATGGTGCAGTGCGATGTTATTATCACGAATAGAACCCTACATGTTTTTTATGAAGTAATATTCTTCTTGTCATCAGTTTAAGTCACTCCTGTTAGCAGAATTTCGGAAACAGTATTTGTCATGTCTACAAGATCTTGGGTTATATGGTTTGTCTACTAGCGCTGCTTGGAGAGCGACTACATCTATTTAATTTTGCACATTATATTTTACAATGTCTGATTTTAATAATAATTTATTCTAATGCAGTTTCACGCGAGTACATTGAGGACCATGGAAGTATTCATTATCTTCATTCCTAAATTTTTGTACTTGGGTCCAAGCAGACGTTAATTGTTTCAATACAGATATTCTGATGTATTTAGATTTTGTTGAGTTTATTTGATATTGATTCAGATTACACTATATGTTTAGATACTCGCACACACTTTTTGTGGAGTGGTCGTTCAGTTATCAGATCTTGTTACTTCATCATTCTATGTTGTTTTTATCTAGGTTATTATATTTTTAGCATTTTTTACGCTAGCTTTCTTTCCGTTGCTGCTTGAAATTGTACTACTATCTGCTGCAAATGTTATTGTATTATCAGCTGTTTTTGTGTATGTTGGGATTCCAGATGATTTTACAACAGCTGTTGCCCTTGTTTTTCTCCAATTTAATGTAATCCTGTATTTGTTTGTATTCATTGTTTTACTTGTTTGTGAATTCTCTGCTGCACTACCTTAAACTAAAGAATTCCTTTTCAATTTTATGTATTTCTATGCCAGGTGGGATTGCTTCAACTGGACGGCTGCAGGTCTCTGTAAAAGCATAGGTAATTTACACATATGTACTATGTATGATAATTTATGTAACTGTAATAAAATAAATTTACTTACCGTGTGAATCCTTTAAAAAATTTGCTGTTAAATTATAAGATTTGGTGTGTGCTTAGACTCTCTCTGACACGTCCTGGAACGATATGTGTACTTGAGCAGTGAGTCCATAACTGTAGTGTAAGAAGAGAAGGATAGCATGCAGGAATTCCTCACATCTTGGCGAGAAACAAACAGATTTATATCAAGAATTTTAAAGCTACCCAAGCTGCGGGAGAGCATCTGGTATGGTCACCCCCTGAAGGTTACTGTACACTCTCCCACCACCCAAAACCCATACCAGTATCAATACCCATACCCACCTCTGAAACAACCTCCCTTCTTTGTTTTCATCCACCGCACACCCTGGGCCAACGCATCGGATTGTATGGGGAATTCAGATAACAGAAGACCATATTGGCTATCTGCTCAGGACTCACTTTATCAAGAACCCTCGTTAAAGAAAGGGCTAACTAAATTATGCTTCTGCTTTTACCACCACTGCTACAACTGTGCTGATTAGTCCATGGTCAACTGATCATCCTGGGCAGTTGTGAACTAAGGTGAAGATTTCAGGTCTCACAGGCAGCTCCTGATCTTGTAACACAAAACACAGTCCAGATCAGTGAGAACCCTTTTCAAGATCACCTTTTTCTTCCTCTTCCCACAGCTATTTTGTGGAGTCATAAAGTACACTAAGGACCAAAAAGACAACGAGGAGTCTTACAACCATACCGAGGTCTCCATCACTACTGTAGACGACTGCTGCCTTTCTAGTTTACTTTTCACACATCCACACACGAGTAATTTTCAAATGATCTTGAAGATCTCGCGGATATATTCTTCACAACTTGTGGTTGTGTGGACGAGGAAAGCGCCTTGTATTAATGTTCTTCCTCTACAAAGTGGTTGGTTTACGGAAGAGTAGGGAGGGTCCAGCAGGTGGATCACGCCGTGTGAATCAGTCATGGAATTCTACAGGTTAGTAGGAATTCACTTGAATTGTAGCTTTGATTTCAGGGGATTGGACTTGGTTCCCCAATAAGCCAACTAATCCACATGATATTGAGGTAAACGTGATATAATATATGTTAATAATACGAGGTCGGATGGATGCTGATCAATCAGATGGATGTTAGTTCATCAATGTGATGCTATATAATCCCGAGGGATGGTATTTCATCGCGGGTGGTGATCTATTCATCACAGTAGATGATAATTCATTGTAGTGGACGATAATTCATCACCAATGATAACTCATCGCAGTAGATAATTCATCGTAGCGGATAATTAATCGCAATGGAAGATAATTTATCACAGTAGATGTTATAATCGTAGATGATAATTCATCGCAGTGAATGATAATTCATTGCAGTGGATGATAATACTTCGTAGCAGTTGATAAATCATCGTAGTGGATGATAATTCATCACAGTAGAGGATAATTAATCGCAGTGGATGATAAGTCATCACATTGGATAATAAATTCACGTTTGAGGAAAAGGTAAATCCAGCAAAGATACAATAAGCGCTAAACCCGTGTGGGTTATTCAGCACAAGGTGTCTTGGAAAATAACAGCTGGTACAGCGGGAACACTAAAGCTGGAGTAGCAGGGACAATAACAGCTGGTGCAGTAGGGACGATAGCAGCACCATGAATGGCAAGAATTTTACCAGCAAGAGCATGTCTTGGTATATATACAGTGGTGTATTTCTCAGTGTTTGTGCAGCGGTGTATATCTAAGTTGTGTATTTCTCAATGTATTTACATTGGTTTATTTCTCATTGTATATACAAGTGTTAATGTATATACGGTTACCTGTAGTCGCTTCTTGAGGTCACCATCTCCGTGGCTGGGTCCACACCAGGCCTCCTGGTTGTTGGACTGGTCGATGAAGTTGTTCACAATCCAACGCATGTCTTGCTGCCAGGATGATCAACAGCTCATTGGAGGAATTTGTCTTGTACCCTCTTGGGAAGAGCCTGAGTTTTGTTGGTAATCCCCCTTATGCATAATGAGAGTTGTAATCCCTTTACACTCACTGACTTCTCTCTGCACTCATCGCTTACCTGCTTTTCACCGGAGATAATCCACATAGTCTATACCTACCCATACCTCTGAGTTCCGAGAGTTTTTCTACTCCCAGAGACCAGTCAAACCTCTTGTTATCTTATGTAGTGATTTCGGTTTGCAGATTTAGGACAAATGCCTCCAGTATCTTCCACGGGTAGATTACGATGTATCTTTCTCGCTTGCGTTCTAAGTACAGTTCTAGGGACTTTGAGTTTCCCCAGTAATCTAGGTGCTCGACTTAATTTATATTAGACGTGAAGGTTCTTTGTACATTTAGGCGTGCTTTTGAAGGTATACTCTCTTCCGTCGCCTCTTACTCTTGCACTAACCTCCACTAATCCTAACCCTCCAACTCCCATGCCCCTCACTCCTAGCATTCGCGCATCCCTCGTCACAGCGCTGTATGATCCTCGCGGGTGAAATACTGTCTGGTATTAAGAGCATGGCCTGGCTTAACACACCACTCAAGGGTTGGGCTCGAGAAACGAGTGATTCATTACTAAAATATCTAACGCAGACATTTGTTTTTAAGGGCGTTGCTTAAAGTACATTTTGATAAGTAACATTTCAGATTGTAAGTTTGAGAATGTGCTTTGTGTGCACTAACCAAGTTATAGTTGCGGGGGTCGAGACTCCTGGCCCCACCACCTTAAAGGCATAGGACCTGTTTCACTAGTCCCCGCCTTTGCCTTCACACGCACACAAACGCTCACGCGAGTGTGTGGAGTGAGGAGATTGGAGAAGGGTACTCCCTGGGCAGTACCATAACCAAGTAAACAACTGGCCATTGCAGCACGACCACGCTTAATCTTCGCTAACTGGCATTCTTCCCTTTCCTTCCTACCCAGGAGTTTCCTCTACTGAAGTTGTTTCTTCACTTGTAGTCTCTCTCTCTTGTAGATTTAGCGCTTCTTTCGTGATTATAATAATAATCTCTCTCTCCCTTCCCCCCTCTCTCTCTTTCTTTCTCTCTCTCTGTATGTACGTATTTCAGTGGTAGAGTATACCGACAAATTTGTTGAAGCACAATATGCTGTTTGTGGCAGTTTATTGAAGTGTTTCGTCCATCAGTGACTATCGGTTCCTATAATTGATTAAAGTCCTTGGTGGTCTTCTTAATTAAATGCCATAAATTGCGTAATTTCTCTCTCTCTCTCTCTCTCTCTCTCTCTCTCTCTCTCTCTCTCTCTCTCTCTCTCTCTCTCTTGGAGTTCTTTTTCTCTGAAAATCTCTCTCCTTTCTAGTGTTCATACGACATAAAACACTGAGCATTATAAACAAATACACTATACAGAAAGAAACAAAGACACTTTACTGTGAGTTCGTGTAAAAAGCACTAAGAGTTTATTTTCCTCTTTGTCCGTCGGAGTGATCCTCTTTTGTGTTGTTCCCAGCCTCGCTCTTGTGACTTTTTGTGATGTCCTCTCGTGTGCTGTAGCTCAGTGTTGTCGAGCTTGGTCCCTTCTCCTCTCCTCTTTCTCCTGCCTCCTTCACACTCCATCTCTTCTTTTATAGTCATATTATGTTGCTCGTTCTTTTTTTCTCTCAATTATCTACGCTCTTATCTTTTCTTTGTTCAGGTATTATCGTTTTTTTTCCCCAAACGCTGTTTCTTCCTGGGGGTTCTCCAAGCCGCAGACCACAAACGGAACACACCCTGGGGAGCGCTTCTGGGAGGGGGTAAGGGCAAGGAAAAGGAAAGAGAGAGAATGGGTAAGTGTGAATGATTTAGTTTGTATGAGTGTTTTTCGTTTTGTGGAGAGGTTTGTAGCTATCTAATTCTCATGCCTTTATAGAAATACCATGTGAACATAATATAGGACACTGCAGTAGGGCTACTGGACTGTCCTTAGAAAGGCCTATTCACGCGAAACCATTCCCACTAATGTTCCTACCTAACTTAAATTTTACAAGTCATTTTTCTTAGTGAAATTCCATGGCAGCTAATTCCACGCATCTTCAACTTTACCATTTTTTTCTGTAGTCTGTTTAATTTTTCATTGGTCTATATTGAAGTCATTTTTTGTGAGTTGTTTTGGATTGTTATGAATCTCATTCTTATCTCATTAATCTCTCAAGCCTTTTCTTGTATTTATATATTTAATTATATCCCCCTTCCCCTAGTCTGCGCCCTTCAAGGTTGTATAACAAGGATTAAATACACAGACGTATACTGACGTATCATGAGTTCTCTCGTGAGAATTGTT